GATTGAACGAATATATGAGCCTTGTTAGAAATATAAAACTCATTCAATACAATGAATATTTAATTTTAATTATTTAATTGTGCAGATTTTGAAGTTGTCAGTTATTTTGATTTTGTTGGTAATTTTTCGATAACATTTTATTGTCAAATAAAATGTTTAGTATCCTACTAAAAGATATATAAGTCACCCACTCAATCTAAACGTTTTGCACTTTGGTTTGATGTTCGTTCGGTCTAAACGATATCGCCTAGACAAACGCACGTCATATTTCTCTCGGCGGAAAGTTTACTGACCGCAGTACGTACACAATAAACATTACACAATGTGGACAAATAGTTTAATCCATTCGCGCGTTGTTCGCTAATCACAGACTACATTGTGTACACAAATGGCCGATTGGTCTTTTTAAAAAACATCAGCGCGTTCAAGATGGCCGGCATTGCGCCCGCAATTAGAACATTTTTATTATTATTACTTTTTCGATTTCCCATTGTGGTCCGAAAAAATACAAAACGCAGAGAGATTCCGAAACGTCATCGCCCTCGTCGTCTAAGAGTTGTGGATATAGAAACATAATAACTATCCATACTAAATCGTAAATCCGAAAAAAAATAATAATAATAACGATAAAGAGAGTGCGGAAAAAATTACATTACATTGTTGAGTCTGCCACAGTCATCATGTGTACTTATATCTATCCGTAGGCATGTACAGTGTGCACTTTGCTCGATGGGAACATCTACAGAGCAAAGTGTTGCTTTGTATATTATAGAAATAAAAAAACGGGTACAATTAAACTGAATGTAAAAATACTTCATTTTAAATTTTAAATTGCGATGACCATAACGTATAAGGCGAACCAAATACACTCGTCGAACGATATTGTTTAGAATTAAATACGTACATAATATTACTGCAGCGTCTATTATAACATAATAATACAATACACGTTTTGTGAATTAAAAAAGAAAAAATAGTTAAAAAAAAACAATCAACAGTCGTAACTATGTATTGTTACTACAGTATCGTCGTTGTGGAAGACAAACCCGTTCTCGGAAAATAATATCACATTATTATTTCGTTGTTTCACGGATATTTAATACGCTTTAAAGACACTACGTGTATTTTATTTGTTACTCGTCGCGTTAATAGAATCAAATTGAATGTATGCGACGTACTTGCCGCAGAGTCAGTCCACTACACTGTTGATGATTTTCAAATCCACGTTTTCGCCTGTTTGGACCGAGTGATTTTATTACATAAAATACACGAAAGTCGTAGCTATTTTTTCGAAAACAAATAACTAACCAAAACGCAAAATAAATGATTAAAGAATACGTGAAATTATGGAAAAATGGATATCAATAACAAGTTAAATACATTAGGTATGCCGCGGTAAATAATTTATGTTCTTCGGGAGGCCTTGTTTGTCATTAACTACTTGGTACTACTACTAGTTAATACATATAGTAATAATACATCCTTTACTATAGAACTTTATAGCACTTCAATCACACGCTTAAATTTTTTTGTCACTATAAAATTGAGATACTAATTTTGACCAGTTCGCAATATTATTTATTAAGTTTTATAATATTCTTTTTAATAGTTGGCTTTTTGTGTACTATTGATTGTATACATTTTTTTTTTGTCAAGTACGCAATTAAAATAATTTAATTCAACACAGTATTTTCTCTAATTCTACAGATTAATATAGGATCTATTAAATTGGGCTAGAGTTCAGACCATTGTCCCATACTCGAGTGTATATTTCTCTACATAGGTTAAAGTAACAGATTGTTTAAAGGGTCGTATTTTGAGTGCTACGTTAGAAATTCTTATGGGTATTGTTAAACTTGTTATCATCACAAAATTGTAAAAGAATGTTTCCAGTTATAAAAAAAACCCTATTCAGTAGATAATATTTAAGCTAATGTTTGCACGCGACGCCTTTACGAGGAAGTTAACGAATTTTTCAATAAAAGTAGATAAACTCATATTTATCAACAATAAACTAAGAAAATAATTTCATCGTAGATAGTTGGCATGCATATACATATGAATAATTTTTGTTAAACGTGTAAAAACAACATTGATATTAAGCTGCCAAGTTGAGACTGGTAGACCAGTAGCCACATGGGTTTACACAATCGTTATAATTAACCAGGACCACGTCGAAGAGTGACGGGCTAACGAGATGGGCGATGCGGTGCGGCCCGTCCATTACATGTCACGTATGCTTTACGCAGCCCATACTTTGTAGGTGAATTATAATATCATAATAGAATATGAAGAAGCTGCGTATTTGTGTGCTCGGGACGGGCCGTTGGCTTATTTCTTCTCAAGGACTCTGGATCACGGACCGTGAAAGGCTTCTTCTCCGTGTCCGTTCATAAAAATTTTTTACGCCGACCGGTCCGCAGGTTTTGTGTATGATAATAACAATAATAGTAATAATAATAATATAATAACGACGATGATAATAATGAAACGAAAAAAAACTAAAGATATAATGAATGAATGAATCAACCAAACATCGTCTCGATACGAAGCGATACACGTATAAAGACATAGTGAATAGACCTTAGCGAGGAGAGGCAAAGAGGCAGTTTTCGATTCACAGGGTCTAGTCGGAAACAATTAAGGCATTGTATAGTAATCATCGGGCCTCCGGTTGTTTAATGACCGAACAGCAGATAGTGTAGACTCGATACAGAGACAATGGAGTGTGTACGTATCGGATGCTTAGGTCTGCCGTGTCTACACGTTAAAATAAAGATCGCTGTGCTACCGGCCAGGAAGCCGATTCTGAACGCGTCATCATCATTAATCAACCAAACTCTTCGGTCGTTTTTAATTTAATCAACTTTAATAACGTCCGACAAGTATACGTATGATGGTCACTACAGTTGTTAATATTCCACACAATGAACATGTACAGCATACACGTTTTGGTTTTACATTGTTTTTGGAGTCTAATAATAAACAGTTAATAAAATTTCAATGGATTAAATAAACAACGCCGTCGTGTATAAATGTAAAAACTTCTGTAAAACACTGGACCGGTCTCGCTAAGTTAGCAAAATATTAAGTATTTTGTAAAAGTCCTAAACCGTTTACGATTTAGTAAAATATTTCAGTGTGTATTCTTCCACTTGAATGTAAGCAAATATTAAAGATACGTTGCACAGAAAAAAAATATGCGTCTCTCTGACAATATTTTAGTTGTATAGATAATTTGCTGATTTCATAAATAATTTGATATATAATATTTAAAGACGAGTAAACACAGAAAACAATATTAAACCAAATAATTTTAATTAAACTAACAAAACTGGAAAAAAAAACACTTAAATTAATTTTGCTAGTTCTATACAGATGAATAATTTAGAAACAAGTCGGTTTAAGCGATTCAGATCTCGTGCAGCATATAAAAGATTGCGGTAAAACGACGAGATGTAGTAATTGAATTTACAATTCCAACGTATCCCATTGACTCTATGATGTAGACCGCATTTTCTCACACCTCAATGATAATAACTATATGATTATTTTTTTTTTTATAAAGCAACGTCATTGGATTTCAATTTCTTCTGGCGTTTTATATTTGTGTGTGCGTGTGTATGTTAAGACCAAATGTTTGAGAATATGTGTTTAAGACAAATTAAAAACTTAAAAATATTATTTTGATTTTTACTTGCGCCACCAATGATAATATTTTTGACTGGAAGTTATGTAATGGAAATGTTTATGTACAAAAAAACTAAACTAACGTTATCCTACCACTTACCCGTCATGTATATATATATATATACGACAACAATACGTACAGTTTAAAGGTGCCCGAGGTTAAACTTATGAAATAAAGAGCGACTCGACCCTAGGACGCAAAAAAATAAAAATACCCACAAGGAAGAGAACCGTTTTCTTTTATTTAATACTTCCATATCTCTTACCAATAAAGATGATCCCGTCTGTGTTCGCAGCTCCATTTCTCCAATTTCTTACCCTCTCTCGAGTACAAACATTTATACATTATATACATGCAAGTCTTTTGTGATGAAAATGAGAATTTTTATCTATAGAACGATATTTATATATAAAACCGTGGGCGTATAATCAAAATATCATTAGCAGGATTATACTCGGGTGCCGCCGTTTTTAATACCACGCAGCTTTGCCGACGGTATTTGCCCATAAACGCATGTGTATTGTAAAAGAAAACCGTTGTAGCCACCTCCTACCCCCGGGCACAGTACATTAATGTGGAGAATTAAGGGAGGGCGATGATATTTTTCTATTTATATTCGATAGGCCCCCGCACATAATGGGAATCGATTCCAACAATATTATCTCGACACATTAAACTTCGCGAGTTCTACTGAGGTGCATTAAGAGTCTACAACATATTACGTTGCACGCACACCTGCATGTCTCTATCTATTTCTGGGACATGACAACACCAATTTAGGTATAGTGTATCAAATAAAAGAGAGTATTGAATGGTATCTACATACTTTCCTAATGCGTTTGTAATTAATGCCAAAAAATATATGAAATTCAAAGGTCGGGAGAAATTAACAATGAAATGTTTGATAATAAAGCGGCTACGAGTAAACTTAAAAAAAAATACACAGCTATAGGTTATTCTAGTGCTGATGACGATTAATCTATAATGATAAATGTTTAAATCAAAGCAACACAGCAGCAATAGAATGACAACCGTATGAATGGACTGACTAAGAACCGGACTGAATATTTTCGCGCAATGAGCAAAAAATATATCCCACGGATGCATTTTTGTGTGTGACCATTGCCGCCGGTTGACATACACGGCATGCAATATGCATGAGAGACGAGACGTCGACCAACGTCAGACGTCAGACCGGTCGGTAGACGTGGAGTTTAATTACTTGAAAAGCAAAGCTGGTAAAAAATAAGAGACATCCAATCAGCCACTACGTTTACAACAGCCAATGGTAAAACGAGAACAGACTTACCCGTTAATCGATGTCTTCGTCATGAAAACGTTCAAGACGGTAGACACTGCTGATTGCCAGAGCTGCGTGATAAGGTTATCGCTCTGCTCAGTCGAATCGTCAAGAAACTGTTCAGTATCCTTGTCCAGTGACATTTGCACAAACTTAACATATACTTCATCAGTCAAATTTTCCTTCCTCACGTTGTACCACTATAACAAAAACTCGTAGAATTATTTAGCAGTTTTAGTTAAAATACAATTATGTGTGCAATTATTATGACTTTTGATGAAAAGGTCACGCGCTCTCACACAAGCTTAACCGTTTTAATTATCAAATTAAAGGTCATGACTGGCAGTGTCTTTATTTTATTTTTAATAATATAGCGTTTTTAGCACTACAACAGCGCATAAGAATATATTCGTTGACAGGGTTAATTATTATTAAGTACTCGCAGGTGCAGCGACATCAAGGGAACGACGCGACTGCTTATTTTTTTTTTCTTTGTTGTAATCCGCAGCAGCTCGGTAATGACTAATTAGACAGTAGGTACGACTATTCGAATATAATTATACTCGAGGTGCACACATATGGCGAATAAGCTGAATTGTGTATGCCCTTCCGCTGTTATTATTGTGATGATGGTGTCCTTTTGTTTAACACTTAGCAGACGACTAGAAGAATAAAAAAAAACAATGCGACGAACAAAAGACCTCTTTGTGGTAAAACGACCCCTGTTTACTACAACTATTATAAAAATAAAATAACCCTTTGACTATAAAAAAAATAATACTAATTACATACTCAATAATAACTGCTAACTGTTATAATATCAATGTAGTTTTTAAGTCAATGAAATTATGACGTTAAAATTAAGTGCAAAGTATAAGTCTGCGGTACAACATTATTACTTTTAAGAAATATTATTTATAACAACGAAATGAGAAGTTAATAAAAACTCATAATTAGATTAATTAATGCTTCTGTGGAAGTAATTTTTTTAATACCTAAAATTTTCATACGTAAATGTATAAAAGGTGGTCAAGTTAAAATATTTTTTAAACGTTATTTACAGTGACATCAGTCACCGCTGTCAGCTTGACAAGTTACTGTGTACAGTCGCAATTTAGCTACGACATTAAAAACGTACATAACTCGCGGACAATTTTACACAGCATTTCTTTTGATGGACTTTTATCCTCAAAAATACACGAACGTTTTGCCATCAAGGAAATACAGTAATTATTATTATTACCATTAATATTTTTATTATACGCACAGACGATCTAAATGTCATTCGAACGACCCAAGTGGGGTTAATCATGATGTGTTGGCACGTAAAGTCGAAGAATTTTTACGATGACCATAAACCATCGTGTTGTGGGTCCGCCGGCCATTAATATGCCAGTTATCGATATTATTATATATATATAATAAATTATTTGATGTTTGTGACGAAAACGGTTCTATACGCTCATATATGACATAAAACATCACATATATACGTATGTATGTTTGCTAGCGGCCATATTGAGAACATTAAGTTTTTTAATTTACTTTTTTTTTCTTCCCTCCTTTATTGAATAATACATAACGCACGTCGCAGCGGCGATGTAGTCTTGCGCTTCGCACCCCAATAAAATAATTTATACATATCGAGTAGAGAGACCAAGTTTACCCTAGAAACGTGAAAACAATAAAAACTATACTAAGTATACGTGTACGTCAACATGTAATTAGGCGGAATGGAGGGACATTTTAATTATAAATATCGAACTTCAGAGTTGTATACGCGATGACGACGAATCGTAAGCTGCCTTGCGGTTATTATTTATTTAGAGCACAAGGAAAAACTATACCGTACTTTAATAAGTACGTTAAGTGTGTATACAACTACGATTTTATTATTAGCTTTTGTTTTTTTCAATATTTAATAGTATTCGGTTTCTGACGTACTTATTAATTTGTGTTGTGAAAAAAATATATATATATATAAAGTTTAAAAAGTAATTTAGAAAAAAATTTACATACAGTCATATCACGGCACCAATATATAGGCAAAATAGACGCTTCTGCGTATGCTACAAAAAATGGTTGCATGTTACATACTTAAATTAAGATTTTTTTACGAACTAAATTCACTAAAATAATCTCTTACTGAAATACAATTTTTGAGCTCTTTTTTCCATTACGACCTTTATTGATCGCCAAACTTCTTTATTTATAAAAAAAAATTACAAACAATTTTTAGTCCAGCCACTCCCTAGAACAGCGATACCCACTAAGTGGTTCGTATTAAAAAATATATTTACCAAGAGGTATAAAATAGGGTGAATGCCCTATTCCATAATATGCTACTCGCAATAAGTTTTCAAAATTTATTTTTGGTATCTTATCTAAGATCTAAGCGGCGTCCGCAGCCTTAGAATTCGCCTCTGTTTCGCTCTTTACAAGTACTCGCCTGTATGTTGGTGATTAGACAAGACTGATAAACATTATTGGAGATACAAAATCTATTGAATTTACACAAGTACAATTTCCATAAATTAAATGAAATGAACAATAATAAATTACGTAAAGAAAATGATTGAAATAAAAAATTCATAATCATTCTAGAATTTATTATTAAAAACTATAAAAATTCCTAAAATTAGTTTCGAGTAAGAAAATATACTAACACTCTTATTAAATGAAATAAATTTTTATTGCCGGCTAATACGAGTTCGTCGACACATTAGAGTTTAAACATTTTTTTTTTTTTATTACCTCTCCATACAAATCGTATTTGCCAACCATACAATAACAGTAATAATAATCAAACATTAATTGTGTTTCGAATACGAATACACTTTTTATACATAGATAATCTGATATTGTTTCCTGGTTTTTCTAGTTGCCTGTGTTACCTTTAAGGTCATACAACCGCCGATGACTTGGCGATATTGTAAACAATAATCGTACGTTTCGAGGGATGAAGTGGTGGGGCAGTGGCGGTCTGTTCATTAGTCCAATCTTGTATTTTTCGATGTCATTAACGATGACTTGGGCGAATTTGGAGAAGTAAAAAGAATGAAAATAATAATAATAAAAAAAAAAAACATACACGCGTTGTATTTATTTATTATGTATACATTTATTATTGTTGAATATAAGCACAAACCAATGTTAATGAACGTTTCGTTGTTATTATTATTTATTATCTTTTTTTGAGTGAAAGGAAGACTTATCGTGAACGCGTTTTCAATCAAACAATAGAGACGATTGCTTATGTAGAGGCATAAAAAACACTTTTCGGCATTTCTAGATAAATTATTGTTTAATTACCCATACAGCTTTCGGGAATGCATTGCCTATACAGTCGTCGGGTTGTTTTATCTTTGTATCGTTTTTTCGACGCGTCAATATACATACTTATAAGTATACGGTATAATGCACTAAATAAAAAATGTTGTGACTGACATTGTAGGTAGATAACAATAAACGTTCTTCAAACTTTACTTTTGTATAATAAATTTGAAAAATATTACTATAGCGTTTTAATAAAGGCCAGTGAATTATCGATATAAGCGATACGTAAATTTAAAAAGAAACTATTTAGGACATCAACAGTGTCTATTGGCCAATGAGTAATCATATTTGATTGTGTGATTATTCGTCGAAATTCTAATGTAGTAATTTTCTTACAGAAGAAACGCCATAACTTGACTTTTTATGTGAATATAAAATATCAATGAATTCAATAATTCTATATTATATTATTATTTCTCTCCTCGATGCATTACCTATGTTTATTATAATAATACCGATTCGTTATGGAAACAATATGGCAATTTAAAAACGGTTTTATCAGAAATTGTTCACTTATAGAAAGAAAACTACACGGGTTATAATGAATACCTGGCAAGAATCATAACATATAAACAAATAAAATACAAATTTTCATTGTAATTCATTGTAGGATTCAAATATTACATTAAAATAATAACAACATTACTAATTAGTCATAATGATTAAATTAAAAAAAAAAACATTTAGCAAATAAATAGTTTAAAGTATGGTAAAAATATAAGTATTTATTTATCGTTTTAAATAAAAGATGAAAAATTTATAATAACACCAAACAAAGTGAATATGTAACTCCTTATCAATATAAAGATGATAAAATGTATACCAAGTGATTCTTTTAAGACTAGTTATTCAATTTATCTTAAAATAAATTATAATAAAAATTGTTGATATTTTTAGTTTCATATATTTCTCGATTTATCAGCTTTTAATGACTTTTTTAATTCTTATATTATATTATACTTAACTTGATTATAAAATTAAAAATTATATAAGTAAGAAAATGTCAATTCGATAACAACTTTTGATCTATTACTTTAAAAATAAATACCATTTTAAAATATAATCTGGTGGTGTAGTGCGGGTAAAATATTTATTATTAGACTAGGCGGCACCTCTCTTTCCACCTAAGTATAAAATTGTAAATAATTCTCGAAAAACTGGTCCAAAAGTTGTTATCGACCAGTTATTTTCTTAATATTTTATATTTTATAAGCTAGTTATGTATTTATGTCGTAATTAAAACAAATAAAATTGAGACCCTTTTAAAGTATAAAGGATAATTTAAAAAATTGATATGGAACTAAAAAATACCAAAAATAATTTTCTTAACGTAATTATTATATTAAATAAATTCGAATGACTAGCGTTGGAATCATTTTGTAAATAATTAAATGATTTATTGTAATTTGTATTAAAAGTTTACAAATAAATTGAGAACAATATAGTTTTTCTTTTTTTGTAAATTACCGTTTACAGGGACTGCCTATATGTTAATATAGGCAGTCTAGGTATGTACATACAGACGAAAATATAGAGGGGCAGCAATTTTTTATCGGTTATAGTAATTATGGTAAAAAATAATTAAAATAAATAAAATTTTATTGACCGCATTTTCGTGTATCACTTAAGGTTATATAGTTAATTTAGAACAATTTTATGTACTTTATGTTACAATAGAAAACACAAGAAGAAATTCAGGTAGACAGTTCCCAGCCAGAAGAATTATATTTAATGTTGAGTCATTTTAAAAAAGTTATACACAATACTGTTAGTTTTTTTAGTGAAAATGTAAAAATACATTCATTTTGAATAGATAATGGTGCGGTAAATTTTAGAAATTATCTATTTACATGTAACTATGATG